CAATGGGGGGGGGAAGGACACATCTATAATACTTTTAACAATAAAGATAATTTTATTTATTTTTTTGCAAAAACTTTAAAATGTATTTATTTAGAGATCACCTCAGCCCTCTTGGAAAGCAATTTAGTTAAGATCACTGATTGGGAGGAAAATCACGCTGTTAAAGTCAGAGGCAGAGACAACAGGTTGGTGCAGGGCAGCCCCTCCAGCGAAAGTGGCACAGCATAGAGGCGGCGTTCATGACCCCGGCACGCGAACACGTGACAGAGAACCATGTGCCGAAGGTACAGTTCAAAATTGAGAACTAGAAATAGACCAGCTCGTCCTGCTTGGTCTTGTGGGTCTGATATTTGCTCAAGATGGTCTCTCTTTCAGGAGGGAGACCTTGAAACACTCGAAGGTGCACGTAGTCATCATCTGCAACTTGAACCTGCAAAGAGAGAGTGGAGTGAGGGGGGCAGGTGCTGCCTCTGACCCCAAGTCCTTGTGCCTGGCGGACTGTGTAAGAAAAGCCCTGAGGAACAAGAGACTGAGTCCCTTCAGGGCAGCAGTTCTCAACCTGTGGGTCGCGACCCCTTTGTCGGTCAAATGACCCTTTAACAGGGGTCGCCCTAAGACCACCTTGCATATCAGATATTTGCATTATGATTCATAACAGTAGCAACATTACAGTTCTGAAGTCGCAACGAAAATAATTTTATAATTGGGTAACAAAATGAGGAACTCTATTTAAAGGGCCAACAGATGGAGAACCACTGCTTCAGGGCATAAGCCACTGAGGTGGTGACATTCCCATCTTCCTCTTTCAGGCGTAGCAGGTGCCCATCATCCCAGCCAGCACCCCTGGGATGCTACATTCGCTCCTCAGAGTCCGTAGTTGCCAGAAGGCTCAGTCCTCTCCACCATGGAAGCCTGCAGGTGTGCATGCACACTCATTTTATTTTATTATTTTAAAAATTTCATTATTGATTTTTTAGAGAGAAAGAGAGAGGGAGAGATACTTTGACTGATTTCCTCCTGCATGCGTCCCCACTGAGGCCAGGGATCCAACCTGCAACCCAGGTACCCGCCATTTACCGGGAATCAAACCCAAGGCCCTTTGGTGTGTAGTTTGATGCTCTATCCATTGAGCCACACCAA